CTGTTTATTTGGTTAATGTAGTTTACCATCAAGTTGTGATCACATCTACCTGATACAGCTGTTTATTTGGTTAAGGTAGTTTATCATCAAGTTGTGATCACATCTACCTGATACAGCTGTTTATTTGGTTAATGTAGTTTACCATCAAGTTGTGATCACATCTACCTGATACAGCTGTTTATTTGGTTAATGTAGTTTACCATCAAGTTGTGATCACATCTACCTGATACAGCTGTTTATTTGGTTAATGTAGTTTACCATCAAGTTGTGATCACATCTACCTGATACAGCTGTTTATTTGGTTAAGGTAGTTTATCATCAAGTTGTGATCACATCTACTTGATACAGCTGTTTATTTGGTTAAGGTAATTTACCATCAAGTTGTGATCACATCTACCTGATACAGCTGTTTATTTGGTTAATGTAGTTTACCATCAAGTTGTGATCACATCTACCTGATACAGCTGTTTATTTGGTTAATGTAGTTTACCATCAAGTTGTGATCACATCTACCTGATACAGTTGTTTATTTGGTTAATGTAGTTTATCATCAAGTTGTGATCACATCTACCTGATACAGATGTTCAGTAGGATTTGAACTTTTTAAATATATGCAAAATTATGGTTTTTACCCCAATTTTACTGTTCAATAAACATGGAAATGTGATAAGGTGAAAATCAGTACTTTCTTGGATTACAGTTTTTGGTTAAGGAAGTTAACTATTTAGTTGTCACATCAACTTTAAACTAAGTATGATCTGAAAGTTTCAAATTATGTGCCAAATTATTCTCAACAAGGTAATGTGATAAGCCTAAGCAAGGCCATACATATTTTGATTTTTCTTATTGTTTAAAAATACAGCACAAAGTCTGAATTATATTTTCTCATTTATGTTATAAAAATATATAGTTTTTTTGGCAAAAAATATACCCTGTAAAGATAACAAGTGGAATATCTTATCAAGAATAAATAAGCATTTGATTTGGTGAAAAATATTGAATAGTATTATGTATTGGAAATTATAGTCTTCATATTGTTAATTAATATTTGACTACATGGACTGATGTAAATAAATCATTCAGAAAATAGTGGACATGACTGATTGTGTATTGTTTTCTTTATTTCTTGTCTAGAAACATTTACTATACTTTTAATTAGTGATCAGTCTGTCCGTCCGTCCGTCCGTCCTTAACAAATTGTGTCCGCTCTATATCTAGAGAACCTTTATGATTTCAAAGTTTATACTTCACATGTATATTAACCAACACCAGAGGGTGTGTCATAATGTATGTACAACTTCCTAGGTCAAAGGTCAAGGTCAAAAACTTTGGTTTTAGTTGACAATTCCATGTCCTATGGTAAAGATCGTGTCCGCTCTATATCTTGAGAACCATTATGATTTCAAAGTTTATACTTGACATGTATATTAACCAACACCAGAGGGTGTGTCATAATGTATGTACAACTTCCTAGGTCAAAGGTCAAGGTCAAAAACTTTGGTTTTAGTTGACAACCCCATGTCCTATGGTAAAGATCGTGTCCGCTCTATATATTGAGAACCGTTATGATTTCATAGTTTATACGTGATATGTATATAAACCAACACCAGAGGGTGTGTCATAATTTATGTACAACTTCCTAGGTCAAAGGTCAAGGTCAAAAACTTTGGTTTTAGTTGACAACCCCATGTCCTATGGTAAAGATCATGTCCGCTCTATATTTTGAGAACTGTTATGATTTCAAAGTTTATACTTGACATGTATATAAACCAACACCAGAGGGTGTGTCATAATTTATGTAGAACTTCCTAGGTCAAAGGTCAAGGTCAAAAACTTTGGTTTTAGTTGACAACCCCATGTCCTATGGTAAAGATCGTGTCCGCTCTATATCTTGAGAACCGTTATGATTTCAAAGTTTATACTTGACATGTATATAAACCAACACCAGTGGGTGTGTCATAATTTATGTACAACTTCCTAGGTCAAAGGTCAAGGTCATAAACTTCGGTTTTAGTTGACAACCCCATGTCCAATGATAAAGATACAAATTTTTTACCACACATTATTCACAGCGGGGCCCACAGAGATGACTCCCATCTCAATGATATCTAGTTAATGCATGATGTGAACAAATACTATTTGAACTATGAATATCACATTTGGCTCATTTTTCTAACTTTACACATTTCCTATAGTCCTTGCTGGTAAAAATTGTGCAAATAAAAATTTGAATGATTTCAATTATACTGTCATGCATATTCTAATTATGATTGATGTAACAAACAGAAAAGGGTGCATCCAGTGTTACAAATATGTCTTACTAACTTAGATAGGTGCATCCAGTGTTACAAATATGTCTTACTAACTAAAAGGGTGCATCCAGTGTTACAAATATGTCTTACTAACTTCTCTACACGTAATCATATTCATATGGTCCCATTGGGCTTTCAGAATACAGTTGTTCATAACTCGTATTGATCACTTGACATGTTTTGACGAAGACTGACAATTAAATTAATACTTTAATATGACCATGGGGGACATAGAACTTTGTCTTCTAAGATTGTGGCTATTGACAGAAGTATGTCAGGTTAGAATAAAGTGAATATGACACCCATATATAGATGATTAACAGATTCATATTGTCAGGTTTTCAAGTATAGGAAAGGAACTGCTCTAGCATTAGGAAAAACAAAGTTATGATGTCCAATCAACAATTGAAAATATGTTTAGATAGTTACATGGTTATAAAAGCAAACTGTAACTAAAACAAACTAACTTAAACAAATACCATCTTACAAAAGATTAGTTCAAATAAACAGGAGAAAATAGGAAAGTATAAGATGTTTTGTTTATAATTGGAAAGTTCTGAACTGAATATTTTTTCTGGTCTTGAGTGAAAGCTTTAAAAAACTTTAGTACTAAATTTCCAACAGATAGGTAGTTATTTCACTTTAACATGTACAATGTTACCTACCCTTTTAGACCAATTTGTACATCCATTTGTAATGTTTCACTGTTAAATCTTCTCATGTTACTTGGCCAATCAGAACTTATATTGTAAAATGATTTTGCCAATCAGAACTTATATTGTAAAATCACTTGGCCATCAGAACTTATATTGTAAAATGACTTGGCAAATCAGAACTTATATTGTAAAATGACTTGGCCAATCAGAACTTATATTTTAAAATGACTTGGCAAATCAGAACTTATATTGTAAAATGACTTGGCCTGAATCAGAACTTATATTGTAAAATGACTTGGCCAATCAGAACTTATATTGTAAAATGACTGGGCAAATCAGTACTGTTATTGTCCATATGCAGTCTTCTTTTAAAATGCCTCTCCCTTCATTCATCCAAGATGGCCACCATAACAGCTGATCGGAGAATGCAATTTTATTTCATTTTGGTTTCATATAATTTCCTGGTTTTTTATGACCTGACAAAAGTGTTTTTAATTTTAAAATGATTGCTGAGATACATGTTTTGACTAATGGAATTCACATAATAGTTCCTTGACAGTAAGTGACAAATTGTAACATTATAAGGATCCACACAACTTTTCTCACTACACATATTATTCACGAGAAATTTATGTTTAATTGCATGCTTTTGGAATATTCAGATTTTGTTTTAGCATGTGCTTTTTATACCATTAATCCAGCTTTTTTGGAATAAAGATTTATTGTGGTGTTGGTATATAAATAACATACCTGATTTCAATCATGCCTAATTACAGGTGTGATACAGGTGTGAATTGCATATTGATCATCATTTTATATTCATCTACAATAGTGGAATTTTCTCCAATTGCTTTTTAATGAAGATGAATTGATTGAATATTTTTTAACTATCATGTGTTATAACACTTTGACTGATGACCTTCAAGATTCTTATGAAATGTATGTTTACTTGGAGTATAACCTAACAGAGTTGTCCCTCAAAGTTCTGGATGAAAAAATCTATGTGTTATCCATTTTACTTTATTTTAAAACTGTTAGAAAATGTTATTTCATCAAGTCGTACAAACAATAGTTAGGCCTACATTGAAATACCTCAGGTTTAACATCTTGTTTCTGGTAAATTACTGAAGCCGTTTGGTTTCAACATCTAAAAAAATTGGAAATATTTGTTAAATATCAGTAAAATAGGATGACTTGAGCCGCCTTTGTGTGAATGTAACAACCCTCACTAAACACATTTTGATCCAAATTTGATGCAAATGGTCAGTTTAATGTGACTTTTATTAAACAGTTGTCAGGTGTAATAAACAATGTTTTTCATTTGAATATATCAGCTGTCTTTACCTTAGATCTCAATCTGAATTTAAGCAAGTGTTTTAACACTTTACTTTCTCAATATGAATTTAATCAGCTGTTTTAACACTTTACCTTAGATCTCAATTTGAATTTAATAAGTTATTTTAACAGACATAACATATTTACCTGTTATATGAACTACTTCCCCTATATATTTGGGATTGTACATGAAAAGCTGTGGATGATGGACCAGTTTAAGTAGGATTACCATATTAACTTTCATGTTATTCTTAAGTGTGTTAATTTCTAGGTCTAGTAATAAAAAAAAATGTAAAAAATTAAGACATAGATTATTTTTCTCTAGTAATAACAAAATTCACATGTGTGTTCACTGTGGTCCATATAAAAATAAAGAGATGTGGCCAATGAGACAACTATCCATCTAAGTTCTAATGAAATGGATGTAAGCAATTATAGGCAACCATAAGGCCTTCAACAATGAGAAAAACCCATGTCGTATAGTCAGCTATAAAAGGCCCCGACATGAAAAATATGAAACAATTCAATTGAGAAAAACTAACGGCCTAATTTATAACAAAACAATTTACGAAAAAAACAAATATGACAGTTCATTCATTTTGATTATTCAGTATTTTGATGATGTTTGAAATTTATGAATATGTGTATATGTGTCAATAAATATTCTACTATGACAGATTTTTATTTTGTTTTTCAGGTTTACAAGTAGTTTTAAATTCAATTGTGAGAGCTATGGTGCCTTTACTTCATATAGCCCTTTTGGTGATCTTTGTAATTATTATATATGCCATTATTGGGTTAGAACTCTTCTCAGGAACAATGCACAAGACCTGTTATAAAAGGGATTCAGGTAGGTCAAATAAACTGTAAAAAAAAGAAGAAAATTAAATGTTCCATAAATAGCATGAATAGGTTTAAACTGAAGATCAATCTGTACTCAATCAGTATGAGAAATTCTGTTGTTTTTCTAAAAGTAATTAATGGGATATACATGAATGAGAAAGCTACGGAACAACAGAAAGAACCAAAATGACATCTTTAATTCATCTTTTCTGTTTTTGTACTGTGAGATGTGCTAAGAACCCTGCTCTGCTTAAACAAATGGAATTATTACAAAATCTGAGTGACATCATGGATCAAAAACTATTCATTTTTGATTTTACATAACTTTAACTTTAAAACTAAAATAAGTGGAAATCTTGAATTAAAAGTTCAAATTTCAGTAAAAAAATAAGCCTAAAACTGTATTATATCAGGTCAAAGGTTAGATGGATACTGTTTTGAAAAAAACCACTTGATTTTAATTTCTAAAACACCTAAGTTTGAATGAATAGAATTTTTGGGGTAAATGTCAATGAGTCACCAATCTAAAAACACATTAAAATCAGAACACACATCCAGAAGGAAACATAGGAGTCACCAATCTAAAAACACATTAAAATCAGAACACACATCCAGAAGGAAACATAGGAGTCACCAATCTAAAAACACATTAAAATCAGAACACACATCCAGAAGGAAACATAGGAGTCACCAATCTAAAACACATTAAAATCAGAACACACATCCAGAAGGGAACATAGGAGTCACCAATCTAAAAACACATTAAAACCAGAACACACATCCAGAATGGAACATAGGAGTCACCAATCTAAAAACACATTAAAACCAGAACACACATCCAGAAGGAAACATAGGAGTCACCAATCTAAAAACACATTAAAACCAGAACACATATCCAGAAGGAAATATAACAGGTGTTGTTTTCTTTTTTAAGGGTTGTGATTTGAAGTGACTTCTTTTGAAAGTTAGAATCTAGTGTTTTTACAGATATATCACAAATTTTGTTTACCTGTTTGCATTTGTCATTTATATTGTTCATGTGGCTATTTTCTGGATATTTAATTTTAGGTGAAATGATGGAAGAACCCCATCCATGTAATTCAGAAGAGAAAGGATTTAGTTGTGATAATTCCACATTTGAATGTAAAGAAGGGTGGATAGGCCCTAACAATGGAATTACAAACTTTGATAATTTTGGATTTGCTATGTTGACAGTATTTCAGTGTATAACTATGGAAGGTTGGACGACTGTTTTATATAATGTAAGTTTGCAGCAGTATGTCCTTTGTTTTATATAATGTAAGTTTGCAACAGTATGTCCTTTGTTTTATATAATGTAAGTTTGCAGCAGTATGTCCTTTGTTTTATATAATGTAAGTTTGCAGCAGTATGTTCTTTGTTTTATATAATGTTAGTTTGCAGCAGTATGTCCTTTGTTTTATGAAATGTAAGTTTGCAGCAGTATGTCCTTTGTTTTATATCATGTAAATTTGCAGCAGTATGTCCTTTGTTTTATATAATGTAAGTTTGCAGCAGTATGTCCTTTGTTTTATATAATGTAAGTTTGCAGCAGTATGTCCTTTGTTTTATATAATGTAAGTTTGCAACAGTATGTTCTTTGTTTTATATACTATAAATTCAGAAATTATTGCTTGCATTTATTATTGCGAGAAGAATGGACATAAATGCGAGATTAATTATTGCGAGTTCAGGAAAAGTGGCATACAGATATATGCATCATATATCAGAATGCGAGTTCTTATTATTGCGATACTCACCCACTCGCATTATTCGCAATAATAAAACCCTCGCAATAATTTCTGAATTTACAGTAATGTAAGTTTGCAGCAGTATGTCCTTTGTTTTATATAATGTAAGTTTGCAGCAGTATGTCCTTTGTTTTATATAATGTAAGTTTGCAGCAGTATGTCCTTTGTTTTATGAAATGTAAGTTTTCTGCAGTATGTCCTTATATTACCAGTCCTACCAGATTATCATAACACACGAGATTGTGGTCAGATTAAGTAGTTTGGGTTAATATTGGTGGGCAGTCTCACCAGGAATAGAATAGAGAAAAAAAATAAGAAGTTGTACTTTAACTTTCCTCAGAAGGAAATTACCGCTTTCAAAGGATACTACTGTTGTCATTCTTTTATAACAGAGATTTTGATCTGACAACATATATTTTGAGAGAGTAAAATCCATGGTTAACATCCCAAAATGTTCTGTGCAATACAGGTTACTTTTCCTTTTATTAAAAAGCTCATTGTGTTTAGGCATGTTTTTTCAATAAATTAAACTGTAATGTTTTTAATATTTGCCACTCTCAATCTTAGATTTCACAGTCGCAAATATCCTTAATTTATGACAATAAATCGTCAACAGACATCAGCAAGTATTGAAATTCAATACAGATATTCCTTAAATATAACAAACAAAAAATAACACAAATGAATTGAAACATGTACAAACCCACCTATGCTTCTCCAATTAGGAGGTTAAAACCTATTTTAAAAGGTTCACTGCAGATAGCTTATGTTACGAAGTTTCAATCTGTCATGTCCATTGTCCTTGACCTCATTTTGATGGTTCAGCGACTGCTTGAAAAAAAATTACAGTTTTTGTCTCGCCTGCGACGAAAGTCGTAGTATGCGAGACATAGGTATTACTATCCGGCGGTGGCGTAAACTATTTGTATAAAGATTATATTTCAGAAGGTAGAAGACCTGGATGCTACATATCTTGTATGCAGATACCTTATATTACGAAGTTTCCGTCAATCATATGCCCATTGTCCTTGACCTCATTTTCATGGTTCAGTGACTGCTTGAAAAAAAAATTGAGTTTTTTGTCATGTGAATTTCTCACTAGGATAACTATATTTGGTATATGGGTTCCTTGCAACGTCTACATGTCCCTCAGACAGAGTTCACCTGACCTCAACCTCATTTAATGGATCGGTGATCAAGGTTAAAGTTACGTGATTAGGTCTGTTTCTCAAATACTATAAGCAGTAAGTCAACTATATTTGGTGTATGGAATGATTGTAATGGGTACATGTCAATCTGGCAGGTTTCATCTGACCTTGACCTCATTTTCATGGTTTATTGGTCAATGTTAAGTTTTTGTGTTTTTGTCTGTTTTTCAAGTACTATAAGCAAAAGGTCAACTATATTTGGTGTATGGAATGATTGTAAGGTGTACATGTCTGTCGGGGAGGTATCATCTGACCTTGACCTCATTTTCATGGTTCACATTTCAGTGTTAGGTTTTTGTGTATTTGTTGGTTTTCCAAACATTAATAGCAAAAGGTCAACTATGTTTGGTGTATGGGACAATTGTAAGGTGTACATGTCGGTCTGACAGGTATTATCTGACCTTGACCTCATTTTCTTGGTTCATTATTAATGATAAGTTTTCGTAATTTTGTCAGTTTATCAGATACTATAAGCAGCAGGTCAACTATATTTGGTGTATGGAATGAATGTAAGGTGTACATGTCTGTCTGGCCTGGTTCATCTGACCATGACCTCATTATCATAGAACATTGATAATGTTTAGTTTATGTGATACTTGTCGTAAAACCTTCATTGTTACAGACTTTCAACATAAATTCAATGATAAGTAAGACAGGCTAGACATTTCAGCGTGTGCACTCTTGATCACTTGACCCCCAAAAGTGAAACACTAAAGGAACTTCATAGAACCCCTAAGTTTAGAAAATTGCACAAAGTTACTAAGATTCTACATCAGGATCAATAAGGATTGATTGTTGGTGTTTAACACCACTTTGGGCACTCTTTGCTCTATCATGGCTGCCAGTTATTCTTGGTGAGGAAGCTGGAGTACCCTGCGAGAACCTCATGGTCAATTAAGTAGAAAGCACCTTGCCATGAGTAAGGTTCAACTTCTAAAAAATAGACAAAAATACAAATGTATACCGTACAAATTTAGACATTTAAAAACAATTCTAATTAGAAGTTGATGCTAATGATTAAAATTGCTCTTAACTCCTGACATGACTTTTTGGACTATATGCAATGCTCTGATACAAAAGGTTTGTAAACACACTTCTTTATTTCATTCTTAATAAAAACGAGAATGGAAACACGGAATGTGTCAAACACATTATATTGATGTTTTTACTTGAAAAACTGATTGTTTTTCTTAGAATTAGAATTTTAACATTTTTTTTTTTTTTTTTATTTCAGATAAATGATGCCGTTGGCAATGAATGGCCATGGACATATTTTATAAGTTTAATTATTATTGGATCATTTTTTGTACTCAACTTAGTTTTAGGTGTTCTTAGTGGGTATGTATGCCATCATCATAATTATCTATTTAAAGTTTCATAGTTCTTAGTATTTTCAAGTTATCAATGCAAGATTAAAGCCCAAAATTCAATGGGTTTTAGTTACTCAAATGAGAGAAAGAAATATAATTGTTCAATGTAAAAGACTAAAAGTCTTAAGAGTTTATAAATTTTGTAATTAACACATGAAGGATCCATATAACTTAAGTTTCCATTCTTTGTGGGAATTTTATAATTGATATAGAATATTTATCTACTCGTTTGCCAAGATGTAATGTAAAAATTATTTTATCAGAGAATTTTCCAAAGAAAGAGAAAAAGCAAAAGCCAGAGGTGATTTTCAAAAACTTCGTGAAAAACAACAATTAGAGGAAGATCTGCGAGGGTATTTAGATTGGATTACACAAGCAGAAGATATCGACCCTGAGAATGAAGATGACGGAGAAGAAGGTGCTACTCCCCGCCATAGTGAGTATCAGAGGTGTCATCACACAATGGCAAAATATATAACATGATGGCATCACAAAATAAATAAACAAGTTTTTAAACAGAGATTAATAGTAAGAGAAAACTTTACATTCATATATTGAAAAAGAGTTGAACTTAGAATCATTCAGAACTATTTTTGAAATGATATTACCACTATACCCTTTAATGCAATATATACTTTGTAGTTAGTATACAGTTATATGTGTCAGTGTGTTTGTTGAACATATCTGTACAGGTGTTTCTTATACATTGTATATGAGAGCGTATTCTTGGCAGAGTTTGTATATTAAAGGGGGATGGACTGAATAAATATCATTATTGTTGGATGCTTAATATCCAGAGAAAAACATAACACATAAATATATAAATATAAGGAGATGTGGTATGATTGCCAATAAGACAACTATCCACCATAGTTAAAATAAGTGGATATAAGCAATTATAGGTCAATGTAAGGCCTTCAACAATGAGAGGAACCCATACTGTATTGTTGGCTAGAAAAGGCTCTGGCATGAAAAATGTGAATAAACTAACAGCCTCATTTATAACAAAACAATTTACAAAAAAACAAATATGACAGACATGAACCAACAACAACCACTGAACTACAAGCTCCTTACTTGGGACAGGCACACAAAGAATGTAGCGAGGTTAAACATGTTTATGAGCGCTCTTTTCTCCTCCTAATCTGGGACAGTGGTATTATAGCACAACAAAGAACAAACTGTAAAAATCAGACATAAAGCAACCGATTAATTAGGACAAGGAAGAAGTTTAGTAAGAAAAACAATATGTTAGTAGGCTCTGAAATGTTGGTGGAAAATCTTTTCTGCCATTAAAATACAATTTTGGCAGGACCAGAAGTTATTCTATGCAACAAGCTTACCACAGGCATTGCTTATAGCGTTCCTTTAGTCTAACAGAGATGCATGGCATTGACACAGCGATAAGATTAAGTGGCACTGTCAACAACTCAGACAATGAGACAATATTTACAGAAATAGTTTAACAAACACGCTGACATTAAAATGTATCTCTAACCTTGATTATTTTCCATATTAATACATTCCATGAAATCGTATACAATGTATGATTAAAAGAAACTATTGATACCTGTTTAAAACTTTCAATCATCATGTATTATGAGGTCATTCTAAAAGAAATTACTATTTACTGTTCATTTGCTTATTTACAAATTCACTGTAAATAATTGGCTTTAGTTTTATTTTGTTCATTAAATTGGTTTCATTCTTGCTTGAATATTTGAAGTTGTTTTGGCTTTTAAATAAGCCAGCTTTTTAGATCTAATTATTTTACTCTTGCATCTAATCTGTATTGATGTTTTAGTTGTATTTGATAAGAAACCAAATGTGCATTTGAAATGATGAAAGCTTATGGAAGTTCTGCAAAAGAAAGTCTTTGGTATAAGCCATTGCTTATGGCACCTCTGATTTTGGTGTGTTTTTACCCCTTTTTACCTGCATGTTGTCCTTTTGCTTGTTAAAAACATGCCTCTGTTCCATAAGATTGATGGTTATTTTCACATGATGGAATTACTGTATATATTTACAGTTAATCAATCAAATCAGCCATGTACTGTACAGAAACCATCTGCATGTGTTTAATTTCATTATGTATGAGGCATTAAAATCTGTCTTTTAAATATGTACAATTAACAAATTTAAGAATATTGACTTGAAAAATAAGCCATGATCTGATAAAGTGTTGTCTCATTAGCAATCATACCACATCTTCTTCTTTTTTTAGATCCATATTCCTTCTGGAAATTTTAAAATTTAAATTGCTATTTTTATTTCAAGACATTAGCTGTCATTTAAATATCCAGTCATTAATATTTTCAATCAAACTTGTCAATTGCAGCAGTGATTTTGATATTTTGTTGGATAATAGTAGTCTCTATGATTGATATTATATTATATTGCTATAACCTTGTGAAGTAATTAGTGGCAGCTTTTAAAGGGGTGAATCTTCCTTCTGAGTAAAAGAGGGAGAACTGCTGTAGAACCAATTTTGTGTTATTTCTTAGTTTTGATTACTTTTTGCAGTTTAAATAGCCTTATGTTCTGAGAATTTTTGTTATTAAAATTTCAAATAAAACATATAATTGACAAATTATTTTGCTATATCAGCATCTTGAAGCATGCACACAGATTATTGTAATAACAATATTTAGAAAATATTATGTCAATTTTAACAGGCTAAACAACAATTTGAGTGAAATTATTCAAAGGAAAGCAATTTGTAGAATTTTCATCCAATGGGGGGTAATCTGTTTACAGGAAATTTATACAGGACTATCAGGGTTAATACTTGTCTTCATAATAAAAGATTTAGCCAAGATTTTAAGCTTTGACAGACTGAAATTCTTTTATGAATAACAATTAGATTAAAGTTTCATCTGTGTTCTTTAAAGGCAAGACAGCTGATGTTTCAAACAACAATCAATCTAAAGACATTAGCTGTAGTTCTGATCAAATCTATTTATTGTTGGGTTAAGTTTCATTATTGTTGTTTTCGTGTTTTTTCTGTAGAAAAATGCATTGCTTGGTTTCTACGAAGACTACCATTTATCAGAGTTTTTATGTCAAAGAAAACATATGAAGAATATAAAAGTATTTCCACTTTAAACACATCAAATGTATAGTCTGTGTTAGCATAGGACACTTTCAGGGGAGACAACTTGTAGAACTCAACATTTTCACTTAATATTCACCTTTATTTTGGTTCTATGTTAAATAAATGTTAACCAATTAAAGATGATTAAGGTGTATTGTGATGTAAATTTTCTGTCTAGAGACACAATTGTTTGTTCACAATGGCTTAGATCATCATAAAGTTTCAACACAACATTATGTGACTCAAAACTATGGCTCGTATTAATTTAGGGGATTGTGAAAAGTATAAATTAATACTTTTTTGGTTACAATTTTATGAAAATGGAACTAAAAACAAGTTTTAAAATTAATGAAAAAAAAGATATAAAATTTGTTTACATACTTGAAATAGGTGCTCCCACAAAAACACACCTAGGTGAAATAGGTGCTCCCACAAAAACACACCTAGGTGAAATTGCAGAATCAATTTTAGTTTCACTTCAATCACTTTATTGTTATTGTAAAGAATTTTGTTTTTTAGGACAGAGGACATTTTAGCACATTAATAGAAAATTTCAGTGAAAAAAATTTGAGACATTTTAATGCAAAAGTGCAAGCCATTTTAGCGCCAGATTTTAAACCCATTTTAGCGAAAAGTGAAATTATCAATGTCCTTTTTGGCAACAGAAATTAAGTTTCATTAGAATAATACGTTTTAATAGTAACAAGACAGCACAACAACAAAAATATCACGACCATTAAAATACTGCGCTAATAGTCTAAATGTTACAAGTCCGTTCTAGCCTGGAATTTGTATCTCTCTGAACGTACTTATTAGGCCCTAGATTATACCCCTGTACAACACTGTTCATAAAATTGTGATAGGAACTGTTTATTTTCTCTATCTTGTCTGAATTGAGGTGCAGATCCAACGATACTTCTAATTTTGATTTATGTTGTTGCTTGTAATTTGATGATAGTATCCAGATAAACAGAAATGGCTGGGTGACAACTATAAAATTGCACATTATAATGTGCATAGAACAACTGGACCATTATTTGGAACTTCTGCCCAAATCTTATGTGGAAATCAGCATAATTTTTTTACACCTTTTAAGTATTGAGAGTATTATTCAACCAGGGAATTTTGTGCTAAAATGGGCCATTTAAAACACAGGTAAAAGAATTAGTCCGGTGCTAAAATGGGCTATTGAAAACCCAGGTAAAAGAATTAGTCTGGTGCTAAAATGGGCCATCGAAAACACAGGTAAAAGAATTAGTCCGGTGCTAAAATGGGCCATCGAAAACACAGGTAAAAGAATTAGTCCGGTGCTAAAATGGGCTATAATATCTGCACTGAAATGTCCCCTAAAAGTCTGAAATTTTTCGCTAACATGCCCTGTGCCTGTTTTTTCATACCAAAACATTAATGTGAATTCATTAGTATTTTTGTTGCATTTGTTGGAAAATCATCAAATTAGACATCCTGTGAGAAGGATATCTTTTGTCATGTTCATGAAATAACATGCATACAAAATAACCAAGAATTGTTTTTGTAAATTATTTTTTTAAATAAGATGAATTCACAATAAACAGATGTTTTCATAGTTTCAAAATTTAGATATTTTAATTGCTTAACTGCCTTATTAATTTATGAAAATAATGTCACATGTATGTATTTTTAGATTTTGAGATACAGAACTCTGACTTATTTAACATCCTATTGAGAAATTTCATTTAATAGCAAAAAAAAGGTGTTTTTTAAAACTAGAATGTGTGTCTATTGCTAGAATAAAAGTATTTTACAATCACTTATAATACTTACATGACAGACTTCTTTTACATAAAATTGCATGAAAATATTTTGTCATTATGATTTAATTAAGTGTAAATTAATTTGAACAGAAAATGCAAGTGAAACAGCTTCAGACAAAACAGAAGATGTAGAAAATGGGGAAATACAACAAACATGGTGCATAAGGAAAAGGTAGGTTATAAATAGATATCCTAATGTTTATATTACCTCCCAGTGGAAGGTACTGGCATGGATAGTACATAAGGAAAAGGTAGGTTATAAAAAGATATCCTAATGTTAATATTACGTCCCAGTGGAAGGTACTGGGCAACAAACATGGTGCATAAGGAAAAGGTAGGTTATAAAAAGATATCCTAATGTTAATATTACGTCCCAGTGGAAGGTACTGGCATGGATAGTACAGGAGGATAGCATAACAGTCTAATAACTATGATTGACCCAGAAATGGATTTCCACCATGCTCAATCTGTCTCTGTCATAAGATCTAATGCAGTTGTTACTAGTCATAAGATCTAATGCAGTTGTTACTATTGTGGTAAGGTGGATTATTTCAGTGAAATATTGTTCAGATCCTAAAATTTTTCTTTCAGTAAACACAACAAATTTTGACTTAAAAATTGACTTCACTAAATTGATATCTTATACTGAGATTTTCTTGTATTAATCAGCTTTTTCAAAAAAGCATTTTGTGTTTAAAGTGTTGTAAAATCTTGGGTCAAATGTCCCTGAATACCAAATAGCAAAACGGGTCATATAACAATGAACAACAGGCTACTCATTGTATGAGAAAAGTCACATGACAATTGCTTTGTCATTGAAAATTACAAAGTGTGTGTAAGCCATCAAATCCTTGAGGTCATGGGTTCCCAGGTAGGTCAAATCAAAATCTGAAACTGTTGGCTGCTTTTCCATTATGCACACTGCATTTATGAGTAAGAGCATGTTTTCTTGTTTAAATGCAGTCCAACAGACCATCTGTTTGTTAAACCCATTTAAGAGAAGACAATACAAAACAAAAAGCACCAATGCTTGGTCTAAAATGATGTAAAGAATTTTGAAGAACAGAAAATTAATATTTAAGAGAAAAGAAATTCTTCATGATTTAATTTTTGTCAAATATTCATACATGTTTTATTTATTTTTCAGTCGGAGATTACGGAAGTTAAATAGACGTTGTAGAAGATTGTGTAGAAAATTAGTGAAATCTCAAGTTTTTTATTGGCTAGTCATTGTCATGGTGTTCCTGAATACTTGTGTTTTAACTTCAGAACATTATGGACAACCTGATTGGTTGGATGATTTCCAAGGTAACACATCTCTTATCTGGTAATAAACTTCCAAAAATATTTGCTAAATACAACAAAAAAACTCTTGTGTAACAATATTATAAACACACACATACACTGACTCCATTGTCATATAAATAAAATATATATATTTGAATGAAAAAAAGGTCCCTGCCTACAACAGATTTTGTGAATGGTACTTCATAGACATAGATCTAATCTTGGACCATTATTATATGGATTTTAATTATCTGAGAAAAGATTAGCTAACAGTTTAAGACATTTTACAAATAAAAGTTACTAAAAATGTGGTTCTATATAGTTAGTATAAACTCTTCATTCAGGTGTGATAGAATAGGCAGTGAAAAGAGGATTAAAATGGAAAAATAATTATTTCATACTTGACATCCAGGTTTGCCTTTAACATGTTTAAGCTATAGAATCAAGATGGCAAAGCAAATTTCTTGAAAATCAAATAACTCGTGAAAGATATTTTTGTTATATTCTGATTATTTTAGTTGAGAAAATTTGTTGATTCTGTATATAACTAATTCTTTTTTATTCTTTTCTTTTTCAGAAGTTGCCAATTTATTTTTTGTTGTGCTATTCACATTAGAAATGTTTCTCAAAATGTACAGTTTAGGCTTCCAAGGATATTTTGTGTCTTTATTTAACCGTTTTGACAGTTTAGTTGTGTTATTCAGTATAGTAGAAGCCATCTTAATATTTACTAATGTGATGCCACCTTTAGGAGTGAGCGTGTTACGTTGTGCAAGGTTACTTAGAGTATTCAAAGCTACCAGGTAAGAACTTACAGCATAGTTATTTTTCACTAATCTGCACATGTTATCATATCAAGTACTTTGTATACTTTGATATAGTTGTTAATATGAACACTTTATAGAGTAATGATTGAATATTGGAATAATAAAGCAATAAATTAGATTCTTCCACATTTTCATAGAATAGAGAATGGAAACGGAATGTGTCAAAGAGGCAACAATCTAAAAAAAGAGCAGAAAACAGCCCGAGACCACCAAGTGGTCTAACACAGCGAGAAAATAATGCACCCGCAGGATCCACACTAAACTCCGAAACACACAAAGAACCAAAATTTAAAAAATACAACTATAACAAAGGCTAGAGGTTCCTGACATGGTACAGGCACAAAAATGTGGCCGGGTTTAATATGTTCTGTTAGATCCCAACTCCCCCTATACCTCTAGCCAATGTGAATGCTTGCATGCATTCTCTAGTCATGACTTCAAAGTTAGTTTTTTACAATTTTAAATGCTGAAAATAAAATATACATATTTGTGCAGGTAAATGAATATTTGCGACATTAAAACATTTTACATCGGCCAAGCTTGAATACAAGACAGTTATCTCCACTTTAATGAAAAAAAAAAACAGATATTCAATTTGAGACATTATTTCAGGGTTAAAATCGCATAAATCATCTGGAATAAGAATGACATCAATAAACCAGACATTTGTTGTCTGTATGTACACTTCGAAATTAAATAAATTTGATAAAAAGGATAATTTCAGAGAGGGGCATCTGCTTTTTCTTTCTATTATTGAATATATCACATACTTATAAATTCATGAATTCAAAAAGGCGATTCTCCTTAGGTACAAACCGGTAGACCTAAATAAATATGATATTGACTAATCAAAATGGTGATTACAAATTATTTCATTTGAAAGTTTTATATCTAAACATTTTCTCTGCCACAGGTATTGGGCATCACTACGTAACTTGGTAGCGTCACTGTTGAACAGTATGAGATCTATAGCCAGTTTACTCCTGTTGTTATTCCTTTTTATTGTGATATTTGCCTTATTGGGGATGCAGTTATTTGGTGGGAATTTTAACTTTGACAATGAACCAAAACCTCGCAGTAACTTTGACAGCTTCTGGCAGTCAATGTTGACAGTGTTCCAGGTAAGATTATGACAGGTTCTTGCTTCCCATGTTGGTGCAGTAAGATTACACCTACAGCTGATAATTATTCTGTACCTTCTGATAATTATTCCGTAATGTTTCTTTAATGGCTGGTAATTTCATTCATTTTATCAGTTCATCGTTATATCAACTAAATGCACAGTCATGTAGGGTGACTTGACTGTAGAGTTGACTCAGAGGATTAACAGTAGACAGAATCTAGGTACAAGTATAATAATATCCTATAATCCGACTTATACAATGTTTACTTCAATTTCTATACTGACTGACTGGATTTCTCCAATTTTAGTTATTATTATACTGTCCTAAGCATACACTTTTTTGTTTCATTTTAAAATGATATATGAACCACACGTACAATGTGCATCTCTAAGCCTTAAAAGTTGTGTGCAGTATATATGTTAAGGTTACACTCAGTCATTCATTCGTTTTTCTGCTAATTTGTTCATTTATTCAGATCTTTTTTTCAGTGATGAAGAAAAATAAATTAGTTTTTTAGCCACAAAAGTATGAAAAACATGGCTTAAATGTTTCAAATTTTAAGTTATTCTTAAAAAGTAAAATGAATTCCTGTTTGTTACAGATTTTGACGGGAGAAGATTGGAATGAAGTGATGTATAAAGGCATTGATGCTTTTGGTGGAGTTAATGATATTGGTTTTCTTGTTTGTTTTTATTTTGTTATATTGTTTATTTGTGGTAATTGTATCCTTTTTTTTGCACTGTGAATTAAAGTGTATGTGGGGTATATGTCAAGGAGACAGAAATCCAACAACACACATACCAAAATACATCTACAGGGCTAAGTACAGTCTCCGTCTATAGACAATATGTCAATTTCTAAAAAAAAGTCTAAACAGTAACTATAAAAAATCTGCCATCAAAACCAAATAGTTTATACTATGACAGTTATGATAATGCCAGGGAAAAGAGCTGTTTTAAGATAAAATAAAAAAGACTTTTATGGTAAATACCGTATAGCAGGTTATTTTAGTGGGTGTTTATTTTCACTTATTTTGCCGAATAAATCAAAAGGGAGAATATAAGAGAATATTAGAATATTAGACAATAAATTAAGCCCACTATAGTGATAGAGTTATTTTTATATTTAGTATGATATGTATTTGCCTTGACCTATATGTTAGATATATTGTTGAATGTCTTCTTGGCCATTGCTGTTGATAACTTAGCTGATGCTCAGAGTCTGACAGAGATTGAGGAAGAACAAGAGGAGGAAAAAGAAAGAATGAGATCTATACGAAGGTCAAAAAGTAGAACACCAGATGGAGAGAAGGATGTGGTAAGAGTATTTCTATTTGACAGTATAACAAAAAATATATACAATAGGAATGTCATTGAGGCAGCAAATCAACAGTTAAAAACTTCCAAAACAAAAAGGAGACAGATGTCATTATACACTTGATGTTTAAAAGCTCAGAGTAATGAAATAATGTTTGGTCAAACCAATTGAATTAGGGGAGAAACTACTACGTGCTTTAGCAAAAAAACATAAGTTACAGAAAAACAAAAGTCCTCAAAAAACCTCACAGAAAATTGATTATTGAGTAACATAAACCTCACTAAGAACCAGGAATAAACTTGGTCGAGGGTATGAAGGTCAATGCAATATATACAAATTGATATTTTATTTTAGCATTATTATTTCCACAAATGCTACAAAACTTCAATTTATTGCAGAAGCTCAAACATTTATCAGGTATTATGAATTCACCATTTTCTTGTTTATGATTAATCAATGATGACTTTTTATTTTGATTAGCAGCCTGATGAAGATGAGGGTGTAGGAGGGATGAATGAAGAAGGTACTGTTGAAAATGAAGACTTGGGGAGGCTCTCTAGGAAACCAAGTGCAAGATCATCTCGATCTTACAGGTATACACAGTTTTATTTTCTTCCAAGTCTCTTGTTTTGCTGGTTAATAAATTTAAGATTATTTATACCATGAACATGATAAGCAAGATAAAAGTGAAGACATATTATAAATGTTAAGCTTATTAATTTGTACAAAATGAAAAGAGACATCATAAGATCAAACACAGTTCTCAATAATAGATTATACCATATGTCCAGCTCCAAAGCACTACAGGTATTGGACATGTGATTATACCTTATGTCCAGCTCTAAAGCAATCTGGGTATTGGACAAGTGATTATACCATATGTCCAGCTCTAAAGCACTCCAGGTTTTGGACATGTGATTATACCATATGTCCAGCAGGTATTGGACAAGTGATTATACCATATAAAATTGAGAATGGAAATGGGGAATGTGTCAAAGAGACAACAACCCGACCATAGAGCAGACAACAGCCGAAGGCCACCAATGGGTCTTCAATGCAGCGAGAAACTCCCGCACCCGGAGGCGTCCTTCAGCTGGCCCCTAAACAAATATGTATACTAGTTCAGTGATAATGGACGTCATACTAAACTCCAAATTATACACAAGAAACTAAAATTAAAAATGATACAAGACTAACAAAGGCCAGAGGCTCCTGACTTGAGACAGGCGCAAAAATGCGGCGGGGTTAAACATGTTTTTTGAGATCTCAACCCTCCCCCTATACCTCTAGCCAATGTAGAAAAAACAAACGTACAACAGTACGCACAGTAAAACTCAGTTTAAGAGAAGTCCGAGTCCGATGTCAGAATATAGGAAACACAAGAAAATAAACAAAATGACAATAATACATAAATAACAACAGATTACTAACAGTTACTGACATGCCAGCTCCAGACCTCAATTAAACTGATTGAAAGATTATGTCTTCATCATATGAATATCAGGCACAATCCCTCCTGTTAGGGGTTTAGTATTATACCATCATAAAATATATGAGAAGAACATAACAGGTGTCATGCCAACAACTGGTTTTAGAATAAATATGTTTGATTCCGATGCAAAGACCCTATAAGTGAATCAATATTAAAGCCAAAATATGCAATCTTTAATGACCTGACAACAGTATCAAAACTATATCCCTTCTTAATAAGTCTGTTTAAAGGTTTTGTTAGCTTTTGAGGTGAATACTGACATCAGGTGTTGGACAAATGATTGTACCATATGTCCAGCAGGTATTGGACAAGTGATTATACCATATGTCCAGTGAGTATTGGACAAATGATTATACCATATGTCCAGTAGGTATTGGACAAATGATTGTACCATATGTCCAGTGGGTATTGGACAAGTGATTGTACCATATGTCCAGTAGGTATTGGACAAGTGATTATACCATATGTCCAGTAGGTATTGGACAAATGATTATACCATATGTCCAGTAGGTATTGGACAAGTGATTATACCATATGTCCACCAGGTATTGGACAAATGATTATACCATATGTCCACCAGGTATTGGACAAGTGATTGTACCATATGTCCAGTAGGTATTGGACAAGTGATTGTACCATATGTCCAGTAGGTATTGGACAAGTGATTATACCATATGTCCAGTAGGTATTGGACAAGTGATTATACCATATGTCCAGTAGGTATTGGACAAGTGATTATACCATATGTCCAGTAGGTATTGGACAAGTGATTATACCATATGTCCAGTAGGTATTGGACAAGTGATTATACCATATGTCCAGTAGGTATTGGACAAGTGATTATACCATATGTCCAGTAGGTATTGGACAAGTGTTTATACCATATGTCCAGTAGGTATATGTCCAGCAAGTATTGGACAAGTGATTATACCATATGTCCAGCAGGTATTGGACAAGTGATTATACCATATGTCCAGTAGGTATTGGACAAGTGATTATACCATATGTCCAGTAAGTATTGGACAAATGATTATACCATATGTCCACCAGGTATTGGACTAGTGATTATACCATATGTCCAGTGGGTATTGGACAAGTGATTATACCATATGTCCAGTAGGTATTGGACAAATGATTATACCATATGTCCACCAGGTATTGGACAAGTGATTATACCATATGTCCAGTAGGTATTGGACAAGTGATTATACCATATGTCCACCAGGTATTGGACAAGTGATTATACCATATGTCCAGTAGGTATTGGACAAGTGATTATACCATATGTCCAGTAGGTATTGGACAAGTGATTATACCATATGTCCAGTAAGTATTGGACAAATGATTATACCATATGTCCAGTAAGTATTGGACAAATGATTATACCATATGTCCACCAGGTATTGGACTAGTGATTATACCATATGTCCAGCAGGTATTGGACAAGTGATTATACCATATGATGAGATACAAGTTGTGAGTGAAGTGAACAGCTATTGACAACTTTAATTTCCTAAATGGATAATCCTCTCTGTTATGTCAATTAATGGAATAACACAAAGACAAGAGAGAAAGAACAAAATAGTCCAGGAAAAGTATTTAGTAATCTTTGTATTAAAGATGACAAAAAAATCAGATAAAGGTTAAAAATGAAAACAACACTTTATAAATTTCATGAGTCCAAAGCACTTTTTAAAGCTTAGGATGTATAAGAACAGAAATAGGTTGAAGAGCATGTCTAGGACATATTGTATTAAAAATGCTGCAAGTTTTTTTCTTATCAGCACAGAAAGAAATCTTTACCTCTGACACTCTAATACTTTATGTTAAATCATTTATTCCCATCTGTAAACCAATACCTACTCTTTCATTTTATTTATGAGAAAAAAAATCATAAAAATTATGTTTAACAGGAAAGATGACAGCCCTGAGCCACACAGACTACGGTTAGATCAAAGTGATGGATCACCAGGGGAATTCCGTGACAGTCATCAGATACCCATAGAGGGTAATGGTAAACATCCTCGTTCTATGTCTCTTACACTTCCATACCAAACTATTAACCATCCTTAGTATATCAAGGTTACCATGTATATAGTAACCTACTGGTATTTGTAGATCTGGACATAAAAACAACCATTTATAATAGAATAATAAAAAGCATGGTGCTGGAGTAATATATACTTTTAGGTTTCTCTCTCTCTTTTCTTTTTTTCTTGAATGTTTGAACCATAATGGTATATTGAACTTGGCTTTCCTTATTGTATTAGGAAATATCAGAAAATTTAAGCCCAAATAACCTTCAGTCATTTTTTCCTATAACACTACCTGGTCCTGATTTATATTAAAGAAAATAGTTTGGTATGGAAACTGTATCTAATGCTTGCTGTTGACTAGAATAAACTCTATAGTTGAAACAATCTAGTATATGTATAATTATAACAGGAAATGTATGATAAGAGCCATTAATTGGTCCCTGAAATTGCCATACCATTAAATTTTTCAATCCTATCAAAATGATCGTAATTTTATTGTTAAATGATCAATTATAACTTAGTATGGCCAATTTTTATCTGGAATTTTCATTTTACATGAGCAATGGCCTCTGCCATTATATTTTTGTGGTTTCAGAACTGCTCATACCCAAATGTTATAAAAAAAAACAAAATGAGGTATTTGCAATTATTCTCCGAATTTAAAAAGTTAAAAGGCCAAGAAGAAGTATTCTAGCCAAAATTGAAAATTTGACAAATATCTGAATTTTTAGCATATCAACACACATATTTTTAAATAGTGAAAATGCATTTTAGTCATGATATTGCACTTTATATTTAAAGTTATCCAGTGAGAGCACTTTTAATATTCATTTACAATCCCCCTGGTACCTCAATCTTTACTTTAGCCACTGGACTTGAAAGCAAGCAACACTCATTCAATCAATCTTTACTCTTTATTAAAATATTAATGTTTGAGGAAGGGGGGTGGGGGGTATTATATTTATCTATTTCTTGTATACCCTTTTAAAATACAGTTGTACATTTATAGAATGCAAAATGATACATGTCCTCTTAAAAAAAGTATTAAAGAGCATTAGGAATGATATCAAAGAACTTTATTATGGTTATGTATCATTTTAACATTCTTTAAAAACTGCAGCTAATATAATGAGATCTATAAGATATGTGTATTTTCTTGTCAAACTGTCCCATCTGTTTTTGTGTAGAGAATTCTTATTAATGTACACACCTGTAATTTAGAAGCATTTTCACCTATTAAATTAGCTGTTAGTGAAAATGAAAAATCTGCAAATTTAAAGTTGCAATAATGGTCAATATACACCATAGATATAAATTGATAATAAAGAAAAAGATTTTAACAATGAAATTAAGAAATTAATTATGATATATTTTTATTTTCTTGAACACAATTAAGAAATTATTAATTATATTTACTTTCATTCATCACAATTGTGAAGTTGATGGTCAGAAACATAATGATGTTTAATTAAATTTACAATGAATTACAAAACATGCTGACATTTAAATACTCTTCAAGTTTATTCAGAATTATTTTTCTGTACTTATTTCAGAAGAAGATGAAAATCAGAATGATATGGAAGATGATGATGAATCGATTGAAGATGAAGATGAATCTCATCATTCTACAGCACGGCCTCGTCGTATCACAGAAATACCCAACGAAAAAGTCAAAATGATTCCTGAAGCTTCATCTTTATTTTTTTTCTCTAAAACAAACAAGTAAGGAAAACCACAGCAATTACTCAACTCCTAGTTTTTAACCAGATTTTTTAATGGAAATCCTGTTATTGATTTTGGATTGTAAACGAGTGGCTGAAGATGTTTTTCACTTTTTAATATGTTATCACTGATGGTAAAATTTAGGTCAATTTAGAAATTGACACTGTGATTTTTCCTTTCATGATTTATGGTCTTTGATTGATCGGATATTGGCACTTTACGTGGTTTCAGCACAATAACTTTTGAATTTTTAAACCAATGCTTTTCAAATGTTTTATATGTAATTACTGATGACATAATTGAGTTCAAGTTCTATATTGACAATTTTCACTTTTACTGTTCAGAAATTTAAGTGGTTTATGTGCAATAAGTTGAGAACTTTTCAAGTAATGCTTTCCAAATTTAAATATGCTATTACTGGTTAGGGTTAGGGTTAGGGTTAGGGTTAGGGTTAGGTTAGGGTTAGGGTTAGGGTTAGGGTTAGGGTTAGGGTTAGGGTTAGGGTTAGGGTTAGGGTTAGGGTTAGGGTTAGGGTTAGGGTTAGGGTTAGGGTTAGGGTTAGGTTAGGGTTAGGGTTAGGGTTTAGGGTTAGGGTTAGGGTTAGGGTTAGGGTTAGGGTTAGGGTTAGGGTTAGGGTTAGGGTTAGGGTTAGGGTTAGGGTTTAGGGTTAGGGTTAGGGTTAGGGTTAGGGTTAGGGTTAGGGTTAGGGTTAGGGTTTAGGGTTAGGGTTAGGGTTAGGGTTAGGGTTAGGGTTAGGGTTAGGGTTAGGGTTAGGTATCATATAGAGGGGGGCACCTGGGGTGTAGGCTGACTATTAAGGGTTGTGATATGGCTGGCGTATGAATATATGAGGGTTAGGGTTAACCCTAACCCAAATTAGGGTTAGGGTTAGGGTTAGGGTTAGCCGGATCTTTTTTTCTAACCCTAACCCTTTCAAGTGCGCATGCGCCGATATGTTTTGGATTCAAGGGTCCCCCTATAGTAATACATACTTAGTTGTAGATATAGTAGTCTTTTTGTAACAATTTCCTGAAGAAGGTATGCCAAAATTTGCATATTGAAATTCAGGGGAGATAATCTGATAAGGCTTATAGGCAAACTTTGAAAAAATCGTATCTCTGTTGTTGACCATCCGATTTTTAAACTGTTTAGCGTTTTGGAAAGGGAATTCAATTGCGCACATTTTGGTGTCTTGATATTGAAAATGTATCGGGGCATTCAAAAGTTATAGGTCGCCGAAGAAAACGTGTCAGAAACTGTGGTACAACGATCCCTAAATGTTAAGAAATGATAGCCTTTCATGAAGGAGTTTAAGTGTCAAGCTGCTATATTTGTTGTATTCATCAATATCTTGGGCCAATATTTACCCTTTTCCTTGAATATTCTCTACCGGCATAATAATTTTATTCTTTATGTACCTCGCGATGAAAATTTTATCAAAAATTAAGCGCTTCGTAAGTCTACGGTTATACTAAAACTTTTGTCGACAAGAATAAAAAGAGCCAATATTTCTTCTTTTGAATGATATTCTGGTACTGGCCTTATAATTGAGCACTTTAAAATACATCCTGATGGGTTGTTTGACATTAAATGGGAATGAAAACAAGTTTAAATAACAAAATTTGTTGTCGGTATAAACAAAAGGTGCCAATATCTTCCCTTCTTCCTGATTTTTCTGGTCCGGCATCATTATTTGAATCTCAGAATGAATGGTTTGACACAAATTGAGAGATTTATAAGTGTACGGTTACTAATATTTATGTCGCGAAACAATTAAAAGCGACACTATTTCATCTTTGTTCTATTATTCTTGTACTGGCCAGGTAATAGAGGCCATTTGATACATTCAAATGGATTGTCAGACATAAAAGTGAAAGAATAAATGTTTTGAAGTGCTATATTTGTTGCATTCAGCAATATAGGGTGCCAATATTGACCATTTTCTTGGTTATTACTTACCGGCATTAACATTTTATCCTTTCGGTACCTGAGGATTGATAGTTTTACACAGGTTTGGAGTCTACGGTTAATAAAACATTTGTCGACAACTATAAGAATGCACAATTTGACAACAATTGAGAGATTTATATGTGTACGGTTACTGATATTTATGTCAATACAAACTAAAAGTGACAATATTTCATATGTTGTATGATATTTATGAGTTTAGATGGATTTGTATTTGTTGTCTGCATCTATAAATGGTGCCAATATCTATCCTTTTTGATGATACTTGTGTGCCAGCATGAACATTTTATTCTTTTGATGGATAATTTGACACTGTATAAGTCTACGGTTACTTATATTTGTGTCGATAACAATAAAAGGCGACAATATTTCTTTCTTTTTGATGATACTTCTGTGCCGGTATAAACATTTCATCATTAGGATGGATAATTTGACACTGCATAAGTCTACGGTTACTTTTATTTGTGTCGATAACAATAAAAGGCGACAATATTTCTTTCTTTTTATTGATATTCTTGTACCGGCTTGGTAATTGAGTACTTTTTGTACCTCAAAATTGATTGTTAGACATTAGAGTGAAGGATTTTAAGTTTCAAATGCTATATATGTGTTGTACTCATCAATATAGGGTGTCAACATTGACCTTTTTCAAAGTCTGAGTGCGCATGCGCGACATGCCTTGGATACAAGGGTTCCCCCCATTAGCATATGTGTACTGAGTGCTTTATATAGTAGGCTTTGTGTAATAATTTCCTCAAACAAGGTGACACAAAATTTGAATTCAGGGAAGATAATCCAATTAGGAATATAGGCAAAGTTTGAAAAATCGTAGCTCCGTTGTTTGCGGTCCGATGTATAAACTGTTTAGTGTTTTGGAAAGGACATTTAACTGCAAAAATTGTGCTGACTTGATAGTGAAAATAAAATGTGTATAGCCGTTAAAGAAGACTTGGGTATTTGTTTACATATCAGACGTAGTAAGGAATACGGGAGGCTATATGGCAAACTTTGAAAAAGTCATAGCTCCGTTTTTAACCGTTTGATTTACAAAATGTTTAACGTTTTGGAAAGGACATTCGATTGGGCAAATTGTGCAGTCTAGGTTTGGAAGATCAGTTCAGGCATTCAAAAGTTATAGGTCGATAAAGAACACATGGGTATTTGTTTACATATTAGACGTAGTATGGAACACGGAAGTGTACATGGCAAACTTTGAAAAATCATAGCTCCGTTGTTTACCGTTCGATTTCCAAAATGTTTAACGTTTTATAATGGGCATTCAATTGCGCACATTTTGGTGTCTTGATATTGAAAATGTATCGGGGCATTCAAAAGTTATAGGTCGCCGAAGAAAACGTGTCAGAAACTGTGGTACAAAGATCCAATGTGCTCCATCTAAATGTTAAGAAATGATAGCCTTTCATGAAGGAGTTTAAGTGTCAAGCTGCTATATTTGTTGTATTCATCAATATCTTGGGCCAATATTTACCCTTTTTCTTGAATATTGTCTACCGGCATAATAATTTTATTCTTTATGTACCTCGGCATGAAAATTTTTTCAAAAATTAAGCGCTTCGTAAGTCTACGGTTATACTAAAACTTTTGTCGACAAGAATAAAAAGAGCCAATATTTCTTCTTTTGAAGGATATTCTGGTACTGGCCTTATAATTGAGCACTTTTAAATACATCCTGATGGGTTGTTTGACATTAAATGGGAATGAAAACAAGTTTAAATAACAAAATTTGTTGTCGGTATCAACAAAAGGTGCCAATATCTTCCCTTCTTCCTGATTTTTCTGGTCCGGCATCATTATTTGAATCTAAGAATGAATGGTTTGACACAAATTGAGAGATTTATAAGTGTACGGTTACTAATATTTATGTCGCGAAACAATTAAAAGCGACACTATTTCATCTTTGTTATAATATTCTTGTACCGGCCTGGTAATAGAGGACATTTGATACATTCAAATGGATTGTCAGACATAAAAGTGAAAGAATAAATGTTTTGAAGTGCTATATTTGTTGCATTCAGCAATATAGGGTGCCAATATTGACCATTTTCTTGGTTATTACTTACCGGCATTAACATTTTATCCTTTGGGTACCTGAGGATTGATAGTTTTACACAGGTTTGGAGTCTACGGTTACTAAAACATTTGTCGACATTTATAAGAAGGCATAATTTGACAACAATTGAGAGATTTATAAGTGTACGGTTACTGATATTTATGTCGATACCAACTAAAAGTGACAATACTTCATATGTTGTATAATATTTATGAGTTTAGATGTATTCTCAGACACAAAAGTGAAGAAATGAATGTTTCAGGTTGCTGTATTTGTTGTCTGCATCTATAAATGGTGCCAATATCTATCCTTTTGATGATACTTGTGTGCCAGCATGAACATTTTATTCTTTTGATGGATAATTTGACACTGTATAAGGCTACGGTTACTTTTATTTGTGTCGATAACAATAAAAGGCGACAATATTTCTTTCTTTTTGATGATACTTCTGTGCCGGTATAAACATTTCATTCTTAGGATGGATAATTTGACACTGTATAAGTCTACGGTTACTTTTATTTGTGTCGATAACAATAAAAGGCGACAATATTTCTTTCTTTTTATTGATATTCTTGTACCGGCTTTGTAATTGAGTACTTTTTGTACCTCAAAATTGATTGTTAGACATTAGACTGAAGGATTTTAAGTTTCAAATTGCTATATGTGTTGTACTCATCAATATAGGGTGTCAACATTGACCTTTTTCAAGGTTATTCCATACCGGCAACCTATTTTATTCTTTTTGGTTTATAGTTTTCAGTGTATGGAGACTAAAAACTTTGTCGACAGATATAAAAAGTGCCAATATTTCTTCTTTTATATGATATTTAAGTACTTTTATGCCTCATGCTGGACTGTTTGAGTTAAATTATATTTATTATTTTTTTTTTTTTTTTTTTTTTTTTTTAACTGGTCGGATAAATGCTGGAGTGTTAGAGTTAAATTATAGTTAAAATTTTTA